AAAAAAAAAAAAAAAAAAAAAAAAACACACAAACACTGATGGGTTCATGAAGATTGACAACCTAGCATCAAGCAGAACAAGAGTTAATCATATGGACTGAACTGACACAGCACTAAAATTGTTATAATTATTATTTGAGATGGAGTCTCACTCTGTTGCCCAGGCTGGAGTGCAGTGGTGCTATCTTGGCTCACTGCAACCTCTGCCCCCTGGGTTGGAGCAATTCTCCTGCCTCAGTTTCCCAAGTAGCTGGGATTACAGGTGTGTGTGCCACCATGCCTGACTAATTTCTGTATTTTTAGTAGAGAGGGGGTTTTGCCATGTTGGCCAGGCTGGTCTTGAACTCCTGACCTTAGATGATCCACCTACCTTGGACTCCCAGGGTGTTGGGATTACAGGCGTGAGCCACTGTGCCCAGCCTGAAATAATTTTTTTTATGACTCTGTTTGAAGCATTGTTGATTTTTTTTTTCTTCTTTTGAGATGGAGTCTCACTCTGTCATCCAGGCTGGACTGCAATAATGTGGTCTCGGCTGACTGCAGCCTCTGCCTCCTGGGTTCAAGTGATTCTCCTGCCTCAGCCTCTGGAGTAGCTGAGATTACTGGTGTGCACCACCACACCTGGCTAATTTTTGTATTTTTAGTAGAGATGGGGTTTTGCTATGTTGACCAGGCTGGTCTGGTACTCCTGACCTCATGATCTGCCCGTCTTGGCCTCCCAAAGTGTTGGGATTACGGGTGTGAGCCACAGCACCTGGCCTGTTGATTCTTTTTGTGGTTTGGTTTCCAGAGTCAAGAAAACATTTTTTCTCTTAAGCTGTTATAGCTTATAGCAATTGGGTAAATTATACTTTTGTGAGCAAAATGGAAACATTTACCTTTCTTTTTACCTGATTTCTCCAAATTCAGGAACTATTTGTGAGTTTTTCCTGTTTTGTGGCAATATAGTTATTTTCATAAATTCAAGAAGCATCTGTTTTCTGGCTGGGTGTAGGGGCTCATGCCTGTAATACTAGCACTTTGGGAGGCTGAGATTGGAAGATTGCTTGAGCATGGGAGTTTAAGACCAGCCTGGGCAACATAGTGAGACCCCATCTATATTTTTTTTAAATTAAAAAAAAAAAAAAAAAAAAAAAGGCCAGGTGTGGTGGCCCATGCCAGTAATCCCAACACTTTGGGAGGCCAAGGTGGGTGGATCACCAGAGGTCAGGGGTTCGAGACCAGCCTGGCCAACATGGTAAAACCCCATCTCTACTAAAAAATATAAAAATTAGCTGGGTGCAGTGGCAGGCATCTGTAATCCCAGCTACCCAGGAGGCTGAGGCAGGAGAATCTCTTGAACCTGGGAGATGAAGGTTGCAGTGAGCCGAGATTGCTGCGCCATTGCACTCTAGCCTGGGAGTCAGAGCAAGACTTCATATCAAAAAAAAAAAAAACCCATGTTCTTCCTTAGCAGGACACAATTGGAGACACTGGTTATTTTACAAATGCTTTGACCAGATATGATTAGACTGCTTTGAAGAATTGAGATTGCTTTATAAAGCCAATAAAAAGCCCCTTGGAAAGACTGGCCTGGTACCTGTATACATGGTTCCCTTACAAAGTTCCTGCCCTTGCAGTAAGTAAAAAATGTTACTTTGCTGGGTGCAGTGGCTCACGCCTGTGATCCCAGCACTTTGGGAGGCCAAGGCAGGCGGATCATGAGATCAGGAGTTCGAGAACAGCCTGGCCAAAATAGTGAAACCCGGTCTCTACTAAAAATACAAAAAATTAGCCAGGCCTGGTGGTGGGCACAGGAACCACAAGATATGTTGGAACCTGAAAGAGGAATTCACCCAGTTCATACTGGTATTACACATACTTGTAATACCAGGTATGGCAAATACTTGGGTTGGCTTCCTAGACTCAAGATGCCTTTAAAAGTCTAATTTGAGGCTGGACACAGTGGCTCACGCCTGTAATCCTAGCACTTTGGGAGTGTGAGGTGGGCGGATCACGAGGTCAGGAGTTTGACACCAGCCTGGGCAACACAGTGAAACCCTGTCTCTACTAAAATACAAAAAATTAGCCAGCCATGGTGGCGGACACCTGTAATCCCAGCTAATCAGGAGGCTATGACAGGAGAATCACTTGAACCTAGGAGGTGGAGATTTCAGTGAGCCACTGCACTCCAGCCTGAGCGACAGAGCAAGACTCTGTCTCAAAAAAAAAAAAAGTCTAATCTGAGATTCCTTTTTTAAAAAAAATTTATTTATTATACTTTAAGTTCTGGGGTACATGTGTAGATTATGCAGGTTTGTTACATAGGTATACACGTGCCATGGTGGTGGTTTGCTGCATCCATTTCCCCATCATCTACATTAGGTATTTCTCCTAATGCTTCCTCCCCAATCCCCCCACCCCCTGCTATTCCTCCCCTAGCACCCCGCTCCTCAGACCCCGGTGTGTGATGCTCCCCTCCCTGTGTCCATGTGTTCTCATTGTTCAACACCCACTTGTGAGTGAGAACATGCAGTGTTTGGTTTTTCTATTCTTGTGTCAGTTTGCTGAGAATGATGGTGGTTTCCAGTTTCATCCATGTCCCTGCAAAGGAAATGAACCCATCCTTTTTATGGGTGCATAGTATTCCATGGTGTATATGTGCCACATTTTCTTTATCCAGTCTATCATTGATGGGCATTTGGGTTGGTTCCAAGTCTTTGCTATTGTGAACAGTGCCACAATAAACTGAGATTCCTTATGAAAAAGTTCTGGCAAAGCCAACTTTAAAAGATCCTGTATGGCCAGTCACTATTCTTACTGGACTTTATGCAAATAATAAGGCCAATTATAATAATAAGACTAAAACTTATTTTGCAAATCTGTTGGTCTTACTATGATTTATCTTGTAGAAAAGGGGGACTGGAGGGAGAAAAATTGTGTTTTAGAAGAAAACTATAGTACACCTGTTATTGGATTCTGGACTGACTGTTGTTTTTGAGTTATCATTTGCCTATAGTTTGGACTGAATCCTGCATTCTTTCCTAGCTCCAAGTCTCTAAACTAATACTTTCAAATTTTTCTCCCATTTTTCTGATTTAAAATCATTGGAAATTAAAACAGCTTTTCCTGAAGCCCTGCAACTGAAGCTAGAGGACTTAAAAACTTAAGGAGAAATCGTCACAGGAACTTATAGATAAACAGCCTTTGTTCCTGTTGATATATGGACTACTTAGAAAGTTCACTTGAACACCCTGTTAGAACTATGATCCAGGAAAATCTGTCAGATTGCCATTTCAATCTGAAGATGCTCCAGATGCTTCGGATTGAGGCAAGCTGGAAAAGCTAGTCTACGGATGATTCCAGATATTCACCTTTTTTTTTTTTTTCCTTTTGTTTCCATAGAATTGTCTCTTGTTAAAGATCTGTTTGTGTGAATTATATACAAAGTCCCAGCCCATCTGCAGTGCCACAGCTTGGAATGGGACACAGCTGTTTAACTGAGTTGATCTAGTCTCAGGACTAAGAGACTGATTCAAGAAAATACAGCATGATACATCTATATTTTTTTTAGAGACAGGGTCTCACTCAGTTACCCAGGAAGTGGTACGATCACAGCTCTCTGCAGCCTTGACCTCCCGGGCCCAGGTCATCCTTCTGCATCAGCCTCCCAAGTAGGTGGGACCACAGGCACATACTACCATGCCTGGCCAATTTTTTTATTTTTTGTAGCAATAGGGTCTCCTTGCATTGACCAGGCTGGTCTGAACACCTGGGCTCAAGTGATCCTCCTGCTTCAGCCTCCCAAAGTGCTGAGATCACAGCTATAAACCACGGTGCCCTGCCGGGATGACATTTAAATGTGTCCTTTTCTGCTTATCCCAATTTCTTTTTCCCCACCTTTGCCTATCTGTCATCTAACAATCTGTAACTCAAATCTCTTCAAAGCCATGAACTTTCCTTTTCCTATGGGAAACTTTCTGAAAGTAAAGTCTCAGAGTGGGGACTGAAGAAAACCAAAATATTTTGCCCCAAAATGTATTTCCATGACCAGGCTCCATGGCTTACACCTGTAATCCCAGCACTCTGGGAGGCCATGGTGGGCAGATCACCTGAGGTCAGGAGTTCAAGACCATCCTGGTCAACACGATGAGACCCCACCTCTACCAAAAATACAAAAATTAGCCAGGCATGGTGGTGCACACTTGTAATCCCAGCTACGCAGGAGGCTGAGGCAGGAGAATCGCTTGAACCCAGGAGGCAGAAGTTGCAGTGAGCTGAGATTGCGCCATTGCACTCCAGCCTGGGCAACACAGTGCGACCCTGCCTCAAAACAAACAAAGTATTTCCTTGACATGGCTGAAGACAGTTACTCAGAAGGACTGGAAATAGAATAGCTAAAAAGCTGTCTTTTGTGGGGGAGATTTGCATCTGTAGCGAGAATCTACACTGATGAGGCTGGGCCTTCTCTGAGGCCTCCCCTTGCCTGATGTAGAAGAGTAACAGAGTCTGACACCTTTAAAGGTCTGAAGGGAACATTCATCTATTCTCTCTGAGGGCTGCTACCTGTGAGGTTTCATCTATAGAACAAGGCCACCTTTGCCAGCCAGGCCTCCTCTCCTCTCCCTCCTGTAACTGGTCTTGCCATTGTAACCTGATTTTCCACCATAACCTGTTTATGGCCATGCTTTGAGTCCCCGTTCTTTCTTTAACCTCAAGATGGTATATAAGCTTCTGAATCCCATTGGGAGGTTGGGGTCATCACTCTGGTTCTCACTGTGTGTATGAATAAATCTGTATGCCTTTTGTCTTATTAATCTGGCTTTTGTCAGTTGATTTTCTGTGAATCTTTATAGAGCAGAGGGGAAGTTTTCTTTTGGCCTCTACAGTCTCCAGTTTGTCAAATGGAAATGCCAAACGCCCATCTGAATGTTGACCAAAAAGAAATTTTGCTGAGGCAAAATTAACATAAGTAGAGAGTTTATTTGGGCCAAGCTTGAGGACTGCAACCTGGGAGCAGAGATTCAAGTTGCCCTGAATATACATCCTGATTGGCAACAGTTACAGTAGTTTTTCAAAGGAAAAGAGGTGGCTAGGTGTAGTGGCTCACGCCTGTAATCCCAGCACTTTGGGAGGCCGAGGAAGCTGATCACTTGAGGTCAGGAGTTCAAGACCAGCCTGGCCAACATGGCAAAACCCTGTCTCTACTAAGAATACAAAAATTAGCCAGGCCTGGTTGCTTGTATCTGTAATCTCAGCTACTTGGGAGGGTGAGGCTGGAGGATTGCTTGAACCTGGGAGGTGGAGGTTGCCGTGAGCCAAGACTGTGCCATTGCACTCCAGCGTGGACGACAGAGTGAGACTCTGTCTCAAAAACAAAAACAGGCTGGGCACAGTGGCTCACAGCTGTAATCCCAGCACTTTGGGAGGCCAGGGCGGGTGGGTCACGAGGTCAAGAGATTGAGACAATCCTGGCCAACATGGTGAAACCCCGTCTCTACTAAAAAATACAAAAAATCAGCTGGGCATGGTAGTGCACGCCTGTAGTCCCAGCTACTCGGGAGGCTGAGGCAGGAGAATTGTTTGAACCCAGGAGGCGGAGGTTGCAGTGAGCAGAGACCGCACCACTGCACTCCAGCCAGGCACCTGGTGACAGAGTGAGACTCTGTCTCAAAACAAACAAACAAAAAACAAAAACAGATAACATTGGCTATACATTATTCTTTTCTTTTTTTTTTTTTGAGACAGTCTCATTCTGTTGCCCAGGCTGGAGTGTTCACTGTACCCTCCACCTCAAGCAATTCTTGTGCCTCCTCAGTAGCTGGGATTACAGGCATGAGCTACTGCACTTGGCCTACATTGTTCTTTTGTGTCACACATTCCAAGAACATGGAGATAATGGGTGATGCAGCTGGTCTGGAACAAAGTGTCCTGAAACAATTGTCTCCAGCCGTGTTTGCAGAAGTACGGGATGACTGAGGCCCCACACTTATCTCACTCAGCTGCACATCCCGAATAGTTCAGCCTCTGCTGTGAGCTACCTCTTTTCTCATCAGTGTGAGAGCGAGCCCCAGAGGGGGCTTCAGTGGGTATTTTATTGTGTGTGGCTGTGGGCCCCGAGGTTAGTGTAGTAACTGGGCCCTGCCAGGGCATCCCCTCTCCATAGTCCCTGCCCCGCACAGTTCTTCCCAGGACATCTCCCTCAGGGTGGTTCCCCCTAGTGTTATAGAAAAGGGGTCCCAATCCAGACCCCAAGAAAGGGTTCTTGGATCTTGCGGCGCAAGAATGAATTCAGGGCAAGTCTGCAGTGCAGAGTGAAAGCAAGTTTATTAAGAAAGTAAAGTGGGTCAGGTGCCGTGGCTCATGCCTATAATCCTAGCACTTTGGGAAGTTGAGGCAGGTGGATCACCTGAGGTCGGCAGTTTGAGACCAGCCTAACATGGAAAAACCCCATCTCTACTAAAAATACAAAATTAGATGGGCGTGGTGGCACATGCCTGTAATTCCAGCTACTGTGGAGACTGAGGCAGGAGAATCACTTGAACCCGGGAGGTGGAGGTTGTAGTGAGCAGAGATCATGCCATTGCACTCCAACTTGGGCAACAAGAGTAAAACTCCGTCTCAACAAAAAAAGGAAAGTGAGGTGGTGAAAGGACAGCTGCTGATAAACAGGGTAGGACATTCCCAAAAGTAAGAGGAGGAACGGGACCACCCTAGGTACAATGCTTGTAAATGTGGGGAGATGTGCTCTGCTACAAGGGTTTGTGATAAAGGATTACTTTTCTTAATTACTATATTTTGCAGGAATCGATGTTATATCCTTAAAGCAAAATTAGGAATGCCTTTGTTCTGAAGTCTGGGTCTGTTTAGGAAACATGATTAATTTGTTCCCTTAGCCGTAAATATCTTTTTTTTTTTTTTTTTTGAGATGAAGTTTCACTCTTGTTACCCAGGCTGGAGTGTAAAAGCACGATCTCAGCTCACGGCAACCTCTGCCTCCTGGGTTCAAGCAATTCTCCTGCCTCAGCCTCCTGAGTAGCTGGGACTACAGGCGCGTGCCACCATGCCCAGCTAATTTTTGTATTTTTAGTAGAGACGGGGTTTCACCATGTTGACCAGGATGGTCTCGATCTCTTGACCTCGAGCAAGTCTCAGCCTCATTTTCTTAGCCCGCACTCAAAATGGAGTCACTCTGGTTGGAACACCTCTGACACTAGGGTGGTTCCCAGGACATCTCCCTCAGAGTGGCTCCTCCTAGGGTGGTTCCCCAGGGCAGCTCCTTGACCTTGGGTTTCCCCACAAGCTCAGGTTGCCCCTCGGGGACACGTGGCCTCAGGAGGAGCAGGACCTGGTTTCCTGATGGGGAGCACTTCCCTGGTCACTGATCCTGGAGCCAGTGGGAAGGTGGACAGGGCCCTGGAAGGGCCTCTGGGGACCGGGGTGATGGTTCAGGACTCGAATTCCACGGAGACCCAGCTGTGTGTGGCATTTATCTGAGGAAATATGAAAGCTCCAAAACAGGAGGCCATGTGGGAGCAAAGTTTGAAGGGCAGGGACTCCCAGGGGTGGGAAGAGGATGGGCCTGAGGCTGCCGCTGACCTCGTGGGGAGCAGGAGGGGCCAGTCTGTTGCCAGCGAGCCCCTGGATGTCACATTCCAGTGTGGTTTCTGCGCCTGTGCATGGCGGGGCTGGGGGGCGGGGGTGTGCTGCTGGCACTTCCATCTGGAGCCAGAATAGAAAGCTGCTTGGTGGCCCAGAAATCTTTGAACCTGTAATTGGAGCTATCACAGCTGGTCGGCGCTGTGAATTGGAGTTTAAAAGGAAACAATCAAAAGCACTTTCTTCTCTTTCAACTGCAAGCTGGGAACTACCCCGGGACGTGCCTGTTCTTCCAGAGAAGAGCCTGCTTAGGGTTGTAGTGTGATGCAAATGGCGGCACCTTCCCCCTGGTTCTGGAGGCCGCTCAGGTGTGTGCCCACGTGACAGCTGCCTCAGCACAGCCCTGACCTCCCAGCCTGGAGGATGGCAGGCGTGTGCTGCCAGCTATGTTTGTTCAAAGCCAAGCTCTGCAGGCCATCCTGCCTTTTGGAGATGTGAGCTCCTTTTCTGCATTGACAGAGCCCCAATTGGAGGCAGCCTGCTGGGGTTCGGGAAGTGGCTCTGGAAGCCTGGGGCATTGCTAATTTGGGACTAACGCCCACAGTCAGGAGAGGGCCTTGAAATGAGGGGCATGGGTCTTGTCTTTCTGCACCTTGGACGAGGAACGGAAGAAGCCTCTGCGTGGGGAAGGCAGGGAGTTGAGCTGCTTCAGCAGGAACTCGTGGCCTGAGTGGAGGAATTCTGCAGCAGTTCATGAGAGCTGCCGACAAGGGGATCCACTGTGGGTCCCCTGTGTAGCCTTCACCTTTCTCACCCCTGTGGGTCTGCTCCATCCTCATCCCTTCGATAACCACCCTGAAGCCCTGTGGTTGGTCCCAGCTGGGCAGATACATGACCTGGCCGGGGAGGTGGCAGGTACCACCTGGGAGGTTCTTGTGGAACCCACTGGAAGGGAGAGGAAGCAGGAGGTTCCCAGAAAGGGGGGCACAGTCTTGAGCATCTGAGAGAGGCATCCACTGCCCACAAGAACTGTGGCAGCTGTGAGGTGGCTGCCGTGTGGCACTGAAAGCTCCTCTGCTTGAGCAGACTGAAGCTCCTAAACCTTCTCCAAGGCCCATCTGTGCACTTCCTGGTAAAATCCAGTTTTAGCAAGGACCTGCCACCCTCAATACCTGATCACCCTTTATGTAACCACCCAGTGGGTTCCCTTTGCCCGCTGCCTGCACAGAGCCGATTTATCAAGACAGAGGAATTGCAATAGAGAAAGAGTAATCATGCAGAGCTGGCTGTATGGGAGACCAGAGTTTTATTACTCAAATCAGTCTCCCTGAGCATGCGGGGAGCAGAGTTTTTAAGGATAATGTGGTGAGTGGGGGAAGCCAGTCAATTGAGAGTGCTGATTGGTTGAGTCGGAGATGAAATCTGGGAAGTTGAAGCTGTCCTCTTGTGCTGAGTCAGTTCCTGGGTGGGGGCCACAAGATCAGATGAGGCAGGTTATGGATCTGGGTGGTGCTGGGTGATCCATCAAGTGCACGGTCTGCAAAATATCTCAAGCGCTGTTCTTAGAGCAGTTTAGGGAGGGTCAGAATCTTGTAGCCTCCAGCTGCATGACTCTTACACCATAATTTCTAATCTTGTGACTAATTTGTTAGTCTTGTAAAGGCAGACTAGTCTCCTAAGTTCTTACCAAAGTTAGTTCAGCATATGCCCAGGAAGGAACAAGGACAGCTTAAAGGTTAGAAGCAAGATGGATTTGGTTAGGTTAGATCTTCACTGCCTCAGTCATAATTTTGCAAAGGCGGTTTCCATCTTACCTGGTCAGGTTCCTCACCCTCCACCACCTGCCAGGTGGTGTTGGTCACCCTGTCCTGTGCTCAGAAGAATCCTGTTAGGTGGGTTTAACCAGAATCCCCTTCACACCTGATGTTTTCCCTTAGTACAGTCACATCCCCTGCCCCCACCCTGCTCCTTGGCTATAAACTCCTGCCTACCCAGGTTGTATCTCGGGTTGAGTCCAGTCTCTCTCCCCGCTGCAGAGTCCCCTTCCAGTGGTCTCTATACCTATGGCAATGGACCTGAATGAAGTGTGCCTGACTGTGCTGTAACACGTGTCATTGCGTCACTTTTCCCTCTGATGTACTGCCCTTTAGCCCTCTGCCCCGGCTGGTTGAGGCCTCCTCCAGCTTCTGGCCACTGAGCTTGCTGTTTCCCCAACCCGGAATCCTGCTCCCTTGACTCCTTCAGGCCACCACTGAAGGAGCCTGGCCCCCAAGCTCTGCCTTCCATTCTTGTGCCCAGGCATGACCTTGTGAAAGGAAAATAAATCTCGGGGCTCCAAAATCATTAAGCTAAAGGGAAGAGTCAAGCTGGGAACTGCCCAGGGCAAACCTGCCTCCCATTCTATTCAAAGTCACCCCTCTGCTTACTGAGATAGATGCATAGCTGATTGCCTTCTTTGGAGAGGCTAATCAGAAACTCAAAAGAATGCAACCATGTGTCTCTTATCTATCTATGACCTGGAAGTCCCCTCCCTGCTTCGAGTTGTCCTGCCTTTCTGGACAGAACCAATGTTTATCTTACATACGTTGATTGATTTTTCGTGTTTCCCTACAAGGTGTAAAACGAAACTGTGCTCTGACCACCTTGGGCACATGTCGTCAGGACCTCTGAGGCTGTGTCACAGGTACGTGTCCTCAACCTTGGCAAAATAAACTTTCTAAATTAACTGAGACGGGTCTCAGATATTCGGGGTTCACATTTTGGTAACCACAGAGGGATTGTGAGTGGAGATTCCCCTGATCTTTGACAAATCTCCTATCAGTGCTTGGTATCAGCATGAGCTAACTTTATGGCTCAAACCAACAGGACAATTTGCTGAGGTCTGGGAGCACCCCCTCCAGAGAATTCCTGATCTTACAAAATTTGGTTAAGATCTAAAGTTTATATGCTGTACAACCTCCCCCACCCCCCCCCCACCCCCCGCTTTTTTTGGAGTTTTTCTTGCTTCCAACAGAAAGGCAAGATTCCCTGCTTCCATGATGATGAAAAGCAGCGACTCCTTTAGGGAGTTTGAGCTTGCTCCCGGCAGGGAAGATGAGTTCGAGGTTTTTCCTGTTTCTAGGATGGTAGAGAGCCGTCTTCAGCCTGAAACCCGTCCCTAGATAAGTAACCGAATTGGGATTTTGTCTTGGCTAATGTTTAACCATCAGCTGGTCTTAGTTTCTCCTTACTATTAGACCCCTCAGTGATCATATTGTTGGGGTTTTTGTTACTGTTGTTTGTTCTGGTCTTTCTCCCATCAGATTTCACCAACCCAACCTGACTTAGTCAAATCTGAATGAGAGTTCCAAATTATGGATAACAGAGCCTGTCTAATTTGGGTAAAATTCCTTGCAGCTGCAAAAGAGGAAAAAACAAAAAACAAAAAACACAACAACAAAGACAAGAAAACAAAAAAAAAAACACCACAAAACACCATGCCCTTGGTTTCTGTGTTTGCTTCCTGCTTTAAAGAAACAAATGTTCTTTCGTTTGCTTTTCTTTCACCCTGTACCTACTTCCCCACTTTGCCATCTGCAGTACCAAAGAATCTAGAGAAGGAGTCTAATGATTTGAACCCCTGTAAAGAATTCAGAACAAAGGCACCACTTGCGTCTTTTGGGGTGTTCCGTTGTCTTGTCATAGGCAGGCAGATTCTTCTTAGGTCTAAAGCTCTGTCTTCCTGTATTGCATGACCTGATGTTTTTGGCTTTGGGGTACCAGGGATGACCTTGTACTGTGAGAGGATTTGACCTTGGCATGTGTAATTGTGGACAGCAGCTACAAAGTTAGGGGTGGCTGAGCACAGTTTACAGGAAGTAGTCATGGCTGTTTTTTTTTTTCTCCTAGGAAGCTGTTGTTTAATGATCTTAATTCTAGCTTGGAGATGTATCCTAAGGGGCCTTCTCTATTGCTTTTTCTCCCAAAATTAATCTTGATTTTGCTTGTCTATGTGCGTTTCAGTGTGAAACTGAACTGTTGTTCCCATAGGTAGATGAGAGATTAAGTTTTCTCAACTCGGAAGAGAAAGGGCATTTTGCACCTCCCAGCCAAAAGGTGCCCCTGGGTGACTGGGGGCCACATGGGAGTGTCTGGGAGATTGACCCCCATGATGTGCATTGTCCTACAGGGAAATCACCAACAAAAATTAATTTTAAAAAAGGCTCTCCAGGAAACACATATAAAGCCTGATTACCCCGTGTTTTGTGCCCTCTCAGAGGTCATAGATCTCTGAAGAGAGAAACTGAGACACATAAGAGGGTGGAAACGACTCAGTGGTGACACACTGTGGAGTCCTGCCTGCAAGCAGCACACATTGATTTGCCACAGAAAAACCCTAGGCCATAGCTCAGTTCCTCCTTTTAAGAAAAAAAGTGTGGGCTGGGTGCAGTGGCTGATGCCTGTAATCTCAGCAGTTTGGGAGACTGAGGTGGGTGGGACACTTGAGGTCAGGAGTTTGAGGCCAGCTTGGACAACATGTGAAACCCTGTCTCTACAAAAACAAAACAAAACAAAAACAAATAAAAAATGCAAACAAAAATTAGCTGGGTATGGTGATGCATGCCTGTAGTCTTAGCTGCTTAGGAGGTTGAGGCAGAAGAATCATTTGAACCTGGGAGGCAGAGGTCACACTGAGCTGAGATCGTGCCACTGCACTCCAGTCTGGGTCACAGAGTGAGACTCTATCTCAAAAACAAAAAAAAGTGGAAAACGATCTAAGAATGAGGAGAGAACAAGGAGAACAACCCCCTTTTGAGCACTCCCCCTTTTGGCACTACTTGCCAGAGTTTATATAAAATGGAAGAAATAATGTCTTTGTGCACATTTACATTAAGGGAAAAGAGCTCTAAGTTTGCCCTGCAAACTGTTGAGTTCCTAGGTCCTCTTTTTCTCTACTTTCTTTTCTGCCCACTTTAAAGCTGCTGTTATGTATTTATTTGTTTATTTTTGGAGACAGAGTTTCACTCTGCCACGTAGGCTGAAGTGTAGTGGTGCAATCTCACCTCACTACAACCTGTGCCTCCCGGGTTCAAGTGATTCTCCTGCCTCAGCCTGCCAAGTAGCTGGGATTACAGGCACTCACCACCACACCTGGCTAATTTTTGTATTTTTAGTAGAGATGGGGTTTCACCATGTTGGCCAGGCTGGTCTTGAACTCCTGATCTCAGGTGATCCACCCACCTTGGCCTCCCGAAGTGCTGGGATTATAGGCATGAGCCAGTGTACCCAGCCAATTTTTCTATTAAGATAAAAACCACTGTTTGTATCTAACAGATTTTTTTTTTTTGGCATGCAAGTGAATTCGTATTTATTTCATGGGTAAAGTTCTAAAGTAAAAGCTCCTGTCCTCAAGTAATTCACCTGCCTCGGCCTCCCAAAGTGCTGGGATTAAGGTGTGAGCCACTGTGCCCAGCTTTCGTTTTGTTGAGACAGCGTCTTGCTGTGTTGCCCAGGCTGGAGTGCAATGGCAGAATCTCAGCTCACTGCAGCCTCGACTTCCTGGCCTCAGGTGATCCAACATCAGCCTCCCAGATAGCTGGGACTGCACAGGTGTGGGCCACGATGCCCAGTTAATTTTTTGTATTTTTAGTAGGGACGGGGTTTTGCCATGTTGCCCAGGTTGGTCTTGAACTCCTGGGCTCAAGTCATCTGTCCAGCTCAGCCTCCCGAGGTGCTGGGGCTACAAGGCTTGAGCCACCTTGCCCAGCCCAGGAATGCTAATTTTTTCTCAGAAAGAAGTTCTGCCCTGATCACGTTCTTTTCCAGTGCTTTCAAGGAACTAAGCAGAACTCAGAAGAAAGCTCTTCTAAAGCAGATCTACACCCTGAAGTGGCTGCAGAGAGCAGCCTCCAGAACTGGTGTCTGTGGCAGCTAAGACTTCCACAGTGCAGAGCCTGTGGCAGGTCTGGCCAGGATGGGTGGAGAGGCAGCCATCATTGCACAGGTCCAAGAGCTTGAGGAATGCAAGGTCTGTGTGTGAACTCATGAGTAGGTCATAGTCCAGCCTTTCAGGGCGGGGCAGGGGTAACAAACCCAGGAAGAGATGACAGACACCAAACTAATTGCACCATTTTGCAAATCTCATTCAGCCAGGTCCAGAGGAATGGATGTTGGAGGAAAATGATTGTAAATCCGGTGGAACTGAGAAAATCACCCTGGGTCCTGGACTGGAGGGGCTGGTGGGCTGTTTGGGAGGGACTGCTTGTGCTCTGTTTCTTAAAACCAAGGCTCGTGCAGCCCCGGGGAAGGAAGGTAACAGACTAGAAACTCCATGGCTTACTGGGGAAAAGGCATCCAAAGCCCGATGGAGACAAGGATATACAGTGCTCCGTCTGCCCTGCTGTCACCTAACTGTCCTGGGAGATGTCCTGCAGGACACCCCTCACCAAGACGTTAAGGGGCTTACTGTGAGGTGGGGAGGGGAGTGACAACACCCTTGGAAACTCAGAAGGCCACTGCGGACGAAGGGGACAAAGCTGCCAAGAAACCGAGTGAGGAGATCCTGGGGCGGCACAAGCCGCATGGCCGGCCAGGCAGGCGAGGTCACTGTGCTGGGCAAGCAGAGTGGTGTGGCCTCACAGACCTTGGACTCCTTTGACAAGGAGTTTCCCTCCAGGACAAAAGCAGAGGGCAGCACAAGGGTGAAGGTTCGGCAGTGATGGAAAAACCCTGGGTCTCAGGCCTGGCCTTGGTCACAGTCCAGGAGGGTTGAAGTTCTTCTTGCAATTCCTGGATATGAGTCATTCCCAGACCCTCTGCTAGAGGGACACATCTGACGGAAACACCCAAGGCTGCAGATGGCTTCCCCCAGCCTCCCCCGAAGGGAGGCAAAGCCCTTGGCAGGATGGCTGTGCACTGGAGGAAGGGATTGCTGGGCACTGGCTCTGAGGTGATGCTACTTCCCAGACACTGTGATGTCTCCACAGTCCCCTGATCAGAGGAGGGCTTTGGAAGTTAGGTTAGACATGCTTCCGGGTCACAGCCCATCTCACAATGGACACAGTGAGTGTGTGTGAATCTATCTTGTGTTAATTTCCCTAGCTGTCTTTTTTCTTTCTGAGACAGAGTCACCCTCTGTCATCCAGGCTGGAATGCAGTGACACAGACTCGGCTCACCACAGCCTCCTGGGTAGCTGGACTGCCGACATGTACCGCACCTAGCTAATTTTTCAAATTTTTGTAGAGCCTGTGTTGCTCAGGCTTCTCTAATACTCCTGAGCTTAAGCAATCTTTCCTCAGCCTCCCAAGGTGCTGGGATTATAGGTGTGAGCCACTGTGCCAGACCATCTCCCTAGTTCTCAAGTATATGATCTGAGTTCTGAGCAGCTGGCCAGCGTGCACATGGTCATGCTGACTTGGGGAAGGGCTCTTGAGGTGGGAAGCCCAAGGCAGGCTCTTGGAGCTCCCCTACTTTATCAGTTGAGGCAACACGAACTACTCTACCACATAGAACTCCAAATCGCAGTGGCTTAATATAAAGATGTTTCTTTTTTTGAGACAGGGTCTCATTCTATCACCCAGGCAGGAGTGCAGTGGCATGATCACAGTTCACTGTAGCCTCTACTTCCTGGGCTCAGGTGTTCCTCCCACCTCAGCCTCCTGAGTACCTGGGACTACAGGCACTCACCACCATGCCTAGCTAATTCATGTATTTCCTTGTAGAGATGGGGGTCTCTTTGTTGCCCAGGTTGGTCTTGAACTCCTGGCCTCAAGCAATCCTCCTACCTCGGCCTTCCAGTGCTGGGATCACAGGCTTGAACTACCACGCCCTAGTGGAACCACTGCTACTTTTGATGTGGATTTAAGGGCATCATGGAAGTCCATAACCAGCCAGCAGGGAGGGTGAAGAGAAAGCATGCAGGTTTGTACAGGGTGTTTTTATGCACCAGGCTTAGGAGTGGCACACATCATTTCTACCCAAATCAATTCCAGAATTCAGTGACATGACCTAGATGCGAAAGGGACTGGAAAATATAGGCCTTGGCGGAGAAATGTGTTCTATCTTGAGCCAGTAGTTAGGACATCAGCTTTCTGACTCCTTAGTTTGTCAACTATGGCAGAGAAAGCCACTCTCCAGGGGCACCTGTCGTACGGTGTTATTTCAGGGAGATGTTTTTCTAGAAGCTTATACTAGACACTTCCCTTTGAGTCCTCCCAATGATCCTATAGGCACCAATTCCCTGTATTAAATCCCTTTCTGCTCAAAGTAGCCATATATGGGTCTGAAATTTATACCTGAACCATGGCTTTTACAGTCAGACATTGAGGAACTGCAAGGCCATGGTGTGAGGGGTCACTTGGAGGGATGTGGATGATGTCAGAACTCGGGGTGAGCAACCTATGACCCAGGTGCTAGAATCCTCAGTGAATGATAGGATGTGCTTGACCAAGTGGGATCTATCGGCAGGCCTCACCTCTGGGTGTGTGCATGTGAGATGAACGTTTTAAAACGCAGAATGTCTTTCTGTTCATTTCTGCATTCGTTGATTATCCAGCATGCAATCATCTAGCATTTATGTGTGCTCAGTGCTGTGGCTGAACAAGAAAAGCAGATTTCCAACAATATAATCTAAAACCTGTCTATTGCACTGGATGCTAATTAAGATATAGCAAGACTTTTTTTTTTTTTTTTTGAGACGGAGTCTCCCATTGTCATCTGGGCTGGAGTGTGGAGGCACAATCTCAGCTCACTACAACCTCCACCTCCCAGGTTCAAGAAGTTCTCCTGCCTCAGCCTCCCAAGTAGCTGGGATCACAGGTCTCCACCACCATGCCTGGCTAATTTTTTTTGTATTTTTAGTAGAGACCATGTTTCACTATGTTGGCCAGGCTGGTCTCAAATTCCTGATCTCGTGATCCACCCACCTCAGCCTCCCAAAGTGCTGGGATTACAGGCATAAGCCACCGTGCCTGGTTATAAGCATTCTTCCATATACATATCTGAGTTTGAAAATAAAGGCTATCCTGAGAGACATAAAACGAAGAGGAAAGTGAAACCAACGGGGTAAGTCAGTATGAAATCTGGGGCTTTCTCAATACCAGGAACTGAAAGCCTTGGGTTTTAAGGCTGCATAGGAGGCAAAAGACAGAGACTTGGGCCCATGCAATATAAGAAGATGCTCACATAAAATCAGGACTTTTGAAGACCCACAGTCTCAGTAAGAGGCCAGAAAGACTAGGAAAAAAATCTGCTTTTCAGGAAAGAGAAATGAATTTTCTTTTTCTTTTTTTTTTTTTTTTTTAAGACAGAGTCTCCCTCTATTGCCCAGGCTGGAGTGCAGTGGTAGGATCTTGGTTCACTGCAACCTCTGCCTCCCAGGTTGAAGTGATTCTTGTGCCTCAGCCTCCTGAGTAGCTAGGACTAAGGCATGCACCACCCAGCCTGGCTAGTATTTGTATTTTTAGTAGAAACAGGGTTTCAGCATGTTGGCCAGGCTAGTCTTGAACTCTTGGCCTCAAGCAATCTGCCTGCCTTGGCCTCCCAAAGTGCTGAGATTACAGCTGTGAGCCACCATGCCTAGCTGAGAAATGAAATAACCTTACCACTAGATAGAAATCAGTGACAATTTATATGTATAAATTTGCCTCCAAATGGGCATGGGGTTTAAATACAAAATATCTTGGTGGTTTGGAACTGAGTTGAAATGGTTGCAGGTTGGCTGGACTAAAGCACTTGGCAGGAGGAAATGTTACGTCACCTCTGAAGGAGAGTACTTTCAACTTAACTCCTCCAGGTTCCTACAGATTAAGATTGGTCAAACATGACATCCCAATCTAAAAATCACAAAACACGTAAGAATGCTTAAAGTGTTCACAGAGGTAAATGATGCAAATGAAAACATTAACAAGAATTGAGGAAACTATCAGAAAGAACAGGAAATAAAGAACCTGGTCGATGTGAAAAGGAACAATATATATCAAAATGAGAAAAATAATTGAAATTTATTTTTTCCTTTTCCTTTTTGGAAAACATTTTTTCACCAATCTCATGCTTAAATGAATGAGAACTATAATTCTGAGTTAATGGTTATTATTATTTTTTGAGACGGAATCTTGGTCTGTCACCAGGCTGGAGTGTAGTGGTGCGATCTTGGCTTACTGTAACCTCTGCCTCTTAGGTTCAAGCAATTCCCTTTCCTCATCCCCCCAAGTAGCTGGGACTACAGGTATGCGCCATCACGCCTGGCTAATTTTTTGTATTTTAGTAGAGACGGGTTTCGCCATGTTGACCATGATGGTCTTGATCTGACCTCATGGTCCGCCTGCCTGGGCCTCCCAAAGTGCTGGGATTGCATGTGTGAGCCACTGTGCCGCCTGGCCTATTCTTTTTTTTTTTTTTGAGACAGAGTTTCACTCTTGTTGCCCAGGCTGAAGTGCAATGGTGTAAACTTGGCTCACTGCAACCTCCGCCTCCTGGGTTCAAGCAAGTCTCCTGTGTCAGCCTCCCAAGTAGCTGGAATTACAGGCATGCACCACCACACCTGGCTAATTTTTTGTATTTTCAGTAGAGACGGGGTTTCTCCTTGTTGGTCACGCTGGTCTTGAACTCCTGACCTCAGGTGATCCACCCGCCTTGGCCTCCCAAAGTGCTGGTATTATAGGTGTGAGCCACTGCTAATGTTTTGTACTTTTAGTAGAGATGGGGTTTCTCCTTGTTGGTCAGGCTGGTCTCAAACTCCTGACCTCAGGTTATCCACTTGTCTTAGCCTTCCAAAGTGCTGGGATTATAGGCATGAGCCACTGCACCTAGCCTGGCCTATTATTCTTAACTCTCTTTCTTGACCTTCACTATTGTGCTCAGTCTAATTATTTCTTTGGGAGATATTTATCTTTTCTTTTTGACTGTTTTTTTTCTAAATTGACAAATGAAAATTATATATATTTACCACTGGAACATATTGTTTCAAAATATAAAGGTATACATTGTGGAATGGCTAAATTGAGCTAATCAATATATGTATTATCTCACGTCATTTTTCTATGGTGATAATACAAAATATACTCTCAACAATTTTCAAGTACACTATACATTGTTATTAACTATAGCTAACATGTTGTACAGTAGAGCTCTTGAACTTATTCCTTCTATCTAATTAAAATTTTGAATCCTCTGACCAACATCTCCCCAACAACCCCCCGCCCCTGATAACCACCATTCCACCCTCTACTTCTGAGTTCTTTTTATGTTCCATATATATGTGAGATTATGTCGTGTTTTTCTGTGCCTGGCTTATTTCACTTAACATAATGTCCTGCAGGTTCATCTATGTTATCCAAAATAGGAGGGGTGTGTGTGTGTGTGTGTGTGTGTGTGTGAGAGAGAGAGAGAGAGAGAGAGAGAGAGAGATCTATTTAAAATTGATAAATTGATAAATAATCCAAGCTTTTTAATTTTTTTTTTTTTTGAAGAGACGAGGTCCCACTGTGTTGCCCAGGCTGGTCCCAAACTCCTGAGCTCAAGAGATTCTCCTACCTCAGCCTCTCAAAGTGCTGGCATTATAGGTGTGAACCACCATGCCCAGCCTAAATCTTTTTTTTTAATTTTTTAATTTTCACGGACCATGTTGAAGTTGTTCTGTGAAAGCCTAAATCTTTTTAAAAATTCACACTTTAACATTTCATTAAGTATATTCACAATGTTGCAAAATCTGTCACCATCTACAGAACTTTTTCATCATCCCAAACGAACTCTGTGCCCATTAAATAAGAACTACGTATTCTCTCCTACACCATCTCCTGCTAACCTCTATTCTGCTTTGTCTCTATGAATTTGCCTGTTCTTATACCTCATGTAAGTGGGATCTTATAATATTTGTCTTTTTGCATCTGGCTTATTTTACTTCACATAAGGTTTTCAAGGTTCACCCATAAGGTCTAGCATTTTAAATAAAAGATACTGAGGAGTTCAGTATTCAAAAAGAAAAATTTCAGATCTCATGAAAAACATAAATCCTCAGATCCAGGAATTATGGCAAATCCCAAACAGGGTAAGTAAAACCAAAATGACATCTAGGCAGATCATGTTGAAACTGAATAATATTAAAGACAACAGGGTCTTTAAAGTAGCCAGAAAGACCAAATTATCCACAGAAAGAATGACAAGTTGATTAACAGCATTTGTTCTGATGGCAACAGTAGCATCCAGATGGCAACAGAATAGTAAATGTAAAACAGGGAGTGTAAGTCACTGTTATCTAGAATTGTATTCCCAGTGCCGCAGGTTGCTAGTCGCCTACTTTAATAACCATTCTGTCTTCCTTATTAATATCGCCCTGGTGGCTGCCACCACATCTGGCACATTTTTGTAATTTTGTAGACACGGAGTCTCACTTTGTTGCCCAGGTTCATCTTAAACTCCTGAGCTCAAGAGATCCGCTCACCTTGGCTTCCCAAAGTGCTGGGATTACAGGTATGAACCACGTTGGCCAGCCAATTCCACATTTCAATGTCAAACTAATATTTTAAATTTAACACTCTAAGAATATACAACAAAGATCAGCCATCCCTTCCAATGCTGTTTTGCTGCTACATATGGAGAGCACACTCTCAGGGTACACTCCAAAATTTGAACTAGTTTTTGATGATGAAAAAATTTAGTGTTTACCATGTACTAGGCATGTGCTAAGCATTTTACACACACTTACCTCATCTAGCCCACACAATGGCCCAGGAGGCTGAGAACTGACCTGTGAGCCTCTGAAGGCACATACCTTGCATCTCAACCAGGCCTGCCATCTGGCCAGAATGATCGAGGAAATGAAACAGTTTGTACTATTGTCCCCAGCTTAGCTGAGCATACCTGGAGATACAGGAAGGCTAGGAAGCTTTCCACGTCACCTGGGTATCTGGTGGCTGAGCTGGGCATTTGCTCCAAGTCCAGGTCTTGAACTTTTCTGGGAAATTTTTTGTTCCTTGAAACCAAACTGCAAGAAAAGCAAAAGCGCTATCAGATTTTAGGGACTAGAATTACAAACTCAAACCCCTTCAGAACCTTCCCTGTCTCCCAAATCTGTATTTCTTTCAATGTGGCTTTCTTCTCCAGGCTGGCAGCTTGGTTGCCAGTAGCTCCTGAGTGCACATCTCTCCACTACATCTGAATAGTGGAACAAGTCTTCTCATTTTAAGAGATGTACAATCCCAGAGCAGGACTCACATTGGCCCCGCTCAGGCAACATGCCTACCGGCTTCTCTGCTGACCAGCCACAGTGACCATGGACAAGTTAAGTTACCTGTTTGTTAAATGAGGACAGTAACAGTGGCTCACCTAGCGACTTTGTGATGATTGAATGAACTAATATATGTAATACACTTAGAATGGCATGTATGTGCTCAAAAACCTTAGTGAACAATCCATTTTCATAATTCTCACTGCACATTTTTTATTTAAACAATTTTCTTTTTTTTTTTTTTTTTTTTTTTTTTTTTTTAGAGACAGAGTTTCACTCATGTTACCCAGGCTGGAGTGCAATGGCACGATCTCGGCTCACCGCAACCTCCGCCTCCTGGGTTCAGGCAATTCTCCTGCCTCAGCCTCCTGAGTAGCTGGGATTACAGGCACGCACCACCATGCCCAGCTAATTTTTTGTATTTTTTAGTAGAGACAGGGTTTCACCATATTGACCAGGATGGTCTCGATCTCTTGACCTCGTGATCCACCCGCCTCGGCCTCCCAAAGTGCTGGGATTACAGGCTTGAGCCACCGCGCCCGGCCTTATTTAAACAATTTTCATAAGTCTTTGTGGTAGTCTCCAAGCAAAAAAGGTTTATCTGTGAAACTGTCATTATTGCCGGCTTTGGAGTTTATATTTCCCTTTGTGGTCCTGGCCATAAAGCCAAGACATTGACATAAAAAGAAATGGTGGGCTAGCAGTACTCCTCTGAAGGGACATATCTAGGTTATTCAGGGTTCTCATAAATCCAGGCCCAACATGAGCTCATAACCCCTGGTCATAAAATTCTCACAGAAACAATCCACCAAGAGTCAGAATTAGTCGATGTCACAAAAAGCAGAATTAAACCATCAAACAGTTCACATAATGAAACTATTGACTAGAAATTTTAAAATAAATTTTTTTTTTTTTTTTTTTTTGGAGACGGAGTTTCGCTCTTGTTACCCAGGCTGGAGTGCAATGGCGCGATCTCGGCTCACCACAACCTCCGCCTCCTGGGTTCAAGCAATTCTCCTGCCTCAGCCTCCTGAGTAGCTGGGACTACAGGCACGCGCCACCATGCCCAGCTAATTTTTTGTAGTTTTAGTAGAGACGGGGTTTCACCATGTTGACCAGGATGGTCTCGATCTCTTGACCTCGTGATCCACCCGCCTCGGCCTCCCAAAGTGCTGGGATTACAGGCTTGAGCCACCGCGCCCGGCCCTAAAATAAATATTTTTGAAATAATTAAAAACAAGAGGCTGGGTGCAGTGGCTCATGCCTGTAATCCCAGCACTTTGGGAGGCTGAGGCCAGGTGGATTGCTTGAGTGTCAGGAGTTTGAGACCAGCCTGGGCAACATGGGGAAACTCTGTCTTTATTAAAAATTTTAAAAATTAGCTGGGTGTGGTGTTGCATGCCTGTAATCCCAGCTACTTGGGAGGCTGAGGCAGAAGAATTGCTTAAACCCAGGGGGCAGAGGCTGTAGTGAGCCCAGATCGTGACATTGCACTCTAGCCTGGGCAACAGAGTGAGACCCTATCTCAAGAATAAATGAATGAATGAATGAATGAATAAAGTGTAAAGGATGCACTCTTAGGGAAAAGAAAATTAAACCTAGAAGGAAAGAATGAGAGGCAAGAAGGCTGAGCACGGTGGCTCATGCCTGTAATCCCAGCATTTTGGGAGGCTGAGGCGGATTACTTGAGGTCAGGAGTTCGAGACCAGCCTGAACAACATGGTGAAACCCTTTCTCTACTGAAAATCCAGAAATTAGCAGGGTGTGGTAGCAATGCCTGTAATCCCAGCTACTTGGGAGGCTGAGGCAGAATTGCTTGCACCCCAGAATCGGAGGTTTCAGTGAGCTGAGATTGCACCATTGCCCTTCAGCCTGGGCAACAACAGTAAAACTCCGTAACAAACAAGCAAACAAACAAACTGGTTAACATGTGACTAAGTCTAAACAAGCACTTATTTTTCTATAGTGATAGTAATAACAGACATGACTAATTTGGAGGTAAAAAACAACATGGACAAAAGCCAGGATGAGAGAAGCAACTGGAGGTTAAGTATTCTAAATTCTTTTTGTTACACAGAAGGAATATAGAGACACTAATTAACTTTAGACCTTGTTAATTATGCATGTGGAAAGTTTATAAAAATGACAGAAAATGCATGAATTCCAAACCAATGGGAGTTGGAGGAAAGGGGAATAAAGAAAACTTGATAAATCCAATAGAGGCAGAAAGAAAAAAGCAGCATAGAGGAAAAAGTGCAAACCAACAGCACAAAATAAGATGGTAAAAATCAGTTAAAGCATATCATTAATTACAACATACATACTATTTAAAATTGAAAATTGTCAGACTGGGTCAAAAAAAAAATCTAGCTGTATATGCTATTTGCCAGAAGCACACTGAAGAATATAAAACAGAAAGGATAAAAGGAAAACAATGGAAAGAGATATATGAGGCCATGAAGAAGTGTGTTGTAGCTATCTTCACTGTTGGAAAAAATAAAATTAAGACAAAAGGCTTAATTAAAGAGTGGTCTTATATAATGATAAAAGGATGAATTTATCAGGAAGCTGTAATAATTCTAAGCTTGTTAGCATTTAATGACAAAGTCTATAAAACCAAAACTGGCAAAATTTAAAGAAGAGACTGACAAAGCCACAGCCACAGCAGAGATTTGAACACATCTCTCTCAGTCATTTATAAATCAAGCAGACAACAGAAAGTACAGCATATGTGAGTAAAATAAACAAGCTTGATCTAATGGAGATTATATATGAATAAATGAATATATAAATTAATATGTTTCATATATATGAATCATATATGAAATAGATATCAACGTTTATGATAAGAATGGATATACCTGTATCCAACAATTCCTACTGAATAAAAAGGAAATGTTAACAAAAATGGACCATGTAGAAGGATAGAAAGAATTCACAGAACCCCAAAATATCAGTATTATGGATATACCTTCTCTGACCATAATGTAAAAAATATCAATAACCAAGGGCTAGTCTTCCCCCAACAAAAAAAACAATATGCATTTGAAAGTATATATTTTTTATTTTTATTTAATTTTTCAGGAGTAGTTTTATTGCCCAGGCTGGAGTGCAATGGTGCGTTCTCAGCTCACTACAACCCCCGCCTCCCGGGTTAAAGCAATTCTCCTGCCTCAGCCTCCAGAGTAGCTGGGATTACAGGCACACACCACCACACCTGGCTAATTTTTGTATTTTTAGTAGAGACGGGGTTTCATCATGTTGACCAGGATGGTCTCGAACTCCTGACCTCAGGTGATCCATCCACCTCGGCCTCCCAAAGTGCTGGGACTATAGGTGTGAGCCACCAAGCCCGGCACATTAAAAAATATAAATAAGCATATTTTTCAGCAATTCCCAAGCCAAAATATATAATTGATATTAGAAAATCAGAACAAAATGGCTAGGTGCAGTGGCTCATGCCTGTAATCCCAGCACTTTGGGAGGCTGAGGTGGGTGGATTACCTGAGGTCAAGAGTTCAGGACCAGCCTGGCCAACATGGTGGAACCCCGGGCATCTTAGCGGGTACCTATAATCTGAGCTACTCAGGAGGCTGAGACAGAATTGTTGAACTGGGGAGGTGGAGGTTGCAGTGAGCCAAGATCGACCCACTGCATTCCAGCCTGGTGACAGATCAAGACTCTGTCTCAAAACAAAACAAAACAAAAAACCAGAAAAAGAAAAATAATCCTAAGGAAATAAACATAAGAATACAATAGAAAACAGAGATGATAAAAAAATGAAAAGCTGATTTTTTAATACATTTGTATTCCTAGAAAATTAAAACTTAAGAATCAAGATAAAATGGAGCCTAAATACAACTATAGATAGATATTCAATAACCAGAAAACACACCAGATCCAGACAGTTTTATTACCAACTGATCCTCCAAGGATGCCTGCCTTCCACAAGCTGGTCTGGAAGCTGGGAGAGGGACTGCTCTGGGGAGGGGAAGTTGGACTTGCACATGGAGGCTGGAGCACTGACCCAGTACACAGCAGGAGCACTGCCATGCATCAGGGCTGTGCCAGGGGCTTGGACACATCAGTGAACCAAACCGGCCAAGGTCTCTCTCCACTGGGTGCCTACATTTTGGCAGGGAAAGAAAGACACTAAACCACAAATAAGTCAGAGTATGCCAGAAGGCCACAGAAGGAAGGCAGGGGACCAGAGGGAGGGAGTGGAGCAGTGTGGAGCTGGGCAGGTCCACCTGAGAAAGGAAGGTAGAGGGGATGGCCTGAGAGCAGAGGGTCCTCTCCCCGACAAAGGCGTGTGGCGGCCAAGGGAGGTGATGTTCCCCGGGAAGTCAAGTGGGACAGGACAGAAGGGTTAGCAGCACAGGGTCCTCGTGTTGCCTTTGGGAATCTTTTCCAGGGAAATGGTCCTCACAGGGACTGTGGGCTGAGTGAGAGGGAGGGCAAGGAGTGGGTGAGAGGGGCGGGGGATCGATGGTGGGAGGTCTGGATGGGACAGCTCTGAGTGCAGCCGAAGTGAGGCCAACAGCTCTGATAAGAGAAGCCAGTGGCTGGCAAACGCAGGCCCACCCAAGGTCCTGAAGGTGGGTGGGGGCGTGAGCCTCCTTGCTGCAGAGTGTATTAGGACAGGAGGGCTTAGGCAGGGAGGGCCCTTGCAGTGGCCTCAGCCTGGGGGTGGCAGTGGGGCAGTGGGCTGTGGTCCATCCAGGGGTTGGTTTGCCCCCCACCCCTGTGTCCAGCACTATTCTGGGTGCTTTGCCCACATGAGCTCTCCCAGGCCTTGTGAGGCCTATTTGTGTCTAAATGTGTGTGGGGGCAGGTGGGGAAGAAGTGGGGATGGTGAGAAGGACGGATCTTTCCAGATCCTTTGGCCCTGTTGGAAGGAAGGGAAAGCTAGGGGCTGTGGTGTCCTGTAAAACCCCACCTTCCAGGTCAGAGAGAGGAGATAAGAGGGGTCAGGGCTGGGCCCAGGGTGGCCCTGCCTGGTAGGTGGGGTCTGGTGGGCCTGAGGGAGGGTGCTCAGGAAGTGTGGGAAGGCCCTGGGGAACCTGGGGATTATTCTCAACAAAATAAGGGGCAAAGACACCCCGTGTCCCTTGACTTCCTCTCCAGGAACCCACCCGGAGGACGTCATGTGTGTAAGTGCTTGTGGGTATTGTTATTTTTGCTGTTTGCCGGGGTGGCGGTGGAGCTGGGGAGTGACTCAGGCTTGGACTCTGTTCACAATGTGAGCATCACGCGTGCCAGGCACCGTGCAGAACCCAGGCTCAGGGCGGCACTGGGCAGGCGCCCTGGGGTTGCCCTGGGCAGTGGGTCTTCAACCCAGTTGAGTCTGGGGATCATCAATCTTTTGGTTGCTGCTTGGCGAAGATGTGAGATTTTTCTCTTGTAAGGCTCAGTGGCCACAGCCTGTGCTGGCATGGGGTGGCTGGATTCACCTGGGCTGGTGGGTTGGCAGGAGGAGGCTGGTGGGGCCCAGAGGTCCAGTCTGGGGGTAGGGGGAGTGCCACCCAGGGGCTCTGGGTCCATCCAGCCAAGGGCAGGCTTGTAGGGAGAGCCCAAAGGAGAGGGAGGAGGCCCAAGGCTGTGGAAGACCTGGCCATGGAGACAGGTGTGGCCCCATCCAAAGTGGTGGTTGTGGTGGGAAGAGTGACAGGGAGGGTTAGGGTTAGGGCTGAAGGAGGGGTTGGGAGGGAGCTGGGGGCCTGGGTGACTAGGGAGGGGAGAGCGAACGGCAGGAAGACGGTGGAGACACGAGGTGGGCCGGGAAGCACTAGCTTCCTCTCTCCAGGGCTGGGGCACAGGAAATCCAGCCCTGGTGCCTTCCAAGGTGCTTCCTGTAGATAAGGGAGCTTCGAGGGCCCCTTCCTGCTCCCTGCTCCCGGGACCCCCACCCCTCCCATCCTGCACCCTCCCCTGGGAGACCCTCAGCTGCACCACTCAGGCCAGGCCAATGGCCTTGGGAGGGGCCTGGGAGGTCTGTGATGCTGGGACCACAGTTTCTGGGCAGGCAGTAACCGTCCAGGCAAGGGAAGAACGCGGGATGTAACCCACCCAGTGCACTGGAGGCTCCACTCTGCCGGGTCAGTGGCGTCCTGGGGAGGCGGGAGGAGCAAGCCAGGCTGGTGCCAGGGAAGAGAGGCCCTGCTCTGGGGTTGACCACAGGCTGTTCTGAGAGCAGAGGGTTCATTAGAAACTCTGTATGGGGTCAGGGGTGCTCTGGGGTGGGCAGGTGGTGGTCGAGGTGGATCTGTGGGGGAGTGTCAAGCCCTGTTCTGTGTGGGTCTGGGTATTTAGGATGGTCCAGGCTGTCAAGGGGAGGGGAGGGAGGTTTTTCTGCGTGTATAGGGGCCGCAGCAGTTCAAGGTTATTCCTGGGAGGCTCAGGCAAAATCCATTTTGTGGGTGATCTGGGGCTGCTCTTGGAGAGGCTGGGAATTAGGGGCTGCTTTTCTCTTTAGGCAGAGGGGTTCGCTAGGCTGGGCTCTTTGGTGAACGTTCTCAAGCTCTGCCCTCAGGGGGCCAGCGGCTCTTCTCCCGGGATCTGGGGCTGCTGGGGGTGGGGACGCCAGGCAAAGTGGGTTGGGAGAGTTCTGTGGGAGTCGGAGCTATTTCGATTTAGGGGCTGCTCTTGGGGGAACAGGGGCTCGCAGAGCTGGACAGTTCGGAGAGGCCGCTCAGGGCTGGGGGACCTGGTGCGCCCCGATGGGGCGGCGGTGCCTGAGCTAGTTTCTTTACTGAGCTCCCCCCTCCTCCGCCCACTCATCACCCCCTCCCGCGTTGCCACGACAACGCGTAAAACTAAAATTCACTTCCCAGTCGCAGGTGGAGACTAGTAGCGCCCCCTCCCCTAGGCCCTTCCCCGTAGGTCGCGCCCCCATCCCGCCGTCGCTAAGGTGACGGGGAGGGGGCGACAAGCGAAGGGTCCAGGCCGGCCAGGGGGCCTTGGGGGCAAGTCCGGAGCAAACTCCCCAAACTCGGCTGGGGTGGGGGAGCCGCCAGGGCGTGGTCAAAAGGGTTAATTCGGAGGGCCTCTCGCTGCGGCGGTGGGAACGGCCCCGGACTCTCTCGTTCTGGAGGCCCCCAGCCTCCGACCCCCAGGCCTGGGGCAGGGGTGGTCCCCACCATCTCCTCCGGGCCCGGAGCTGGGGGGACGGTGGAGTGGGGGGAGAAACCGCCGCCTCCGGAAATTAATTGTTTTTCTTTCCCCTTCTCCCCCTACCTCGGTCTTCCTGCCCCAACGCGGCCCCCACCCCAGCTCTGGGACCCCTTACTCCGCCGCACCCTGCCCGGGGGTCCGGGGATGCCCGCCCGCTGCGGAAGGGCGGCGCGGCCCTCGCTACTCAGCCACTCCCCCCCCGCCGAGGCCTAGGACTCCCCCCGCCCCCCGGCACAGCCCCCCAGCCCCCCGCCCCGGGGCCTGGCCCCCGCCCTCCTCGCGAGCCTCCCCCCCCCACCCGGGACCCCGCCAGCCGCCCCCCCACACTGGCCCGGAGCCCTCCCGGCCCCCGCCTCCGGCGCAGCCCCCTCGCCACCCCCGCTTCCCTCCCGTCTCAGGCCCCCTCCCCCCGCCGCCCCCGCCCCCGGGGAAGGCAGGCGCCGAGCTGAGCCGGGGCCGATGCAGCTGAGCCGCGCCGCCGCCGCCGCCGCCGCCGCCCCAGCGGAGCCCCCGGAGCCGCTGTCCCCCGCGCCGGCCCCGGCCCCGGCCCCCCCCGGCCCCCTCCCGCGCAGCGCGGCCGACGGGGCTCCGGCGGGGGGGAAGGGGGGGCCGGGGCGCCGCGCGGAGTCCCCGGGCGCTCCGTTCCCTGGCGCGAGAGGCCCCGGCCCGGGCCCCGGCGCGGGGATGGACGGCCCCGGGGCCAGCGCCGTGGTCGTGCGCGTCGGCATCCCGGACCTGCAGCAGACGGTGAGCCCCGCCGCCCCGGGCCCGGCCGCGCCCCTGCGCTCCCCGCCCGGGATCCCCCCGCCCCCGTCCCGCCGGGCGTCTCCCGGCGCCTGGGACCCCCGGCCCACGGCTACTCACCCCTCCCCCGCCGCCTCCGCCGGGACCCTCCCCATCGCCAGGGCGGGGCCCGAGGAAGCCCGGCCCCCGGGGCGGGGCCTGGACCGCAGTTCGCGGAGGCGCGGGGTCCTGGGCGCCGGCTCCCGAGCCCCGGACTCCTTCGGCGTGGGGGGGGGGCCCGGGGCTCGGCACCCCGCGTGGAGCGGGCGGGGCGGGCGGCGCTGCCCGAGTCTGAGCTTACGAGCCCGCCCCGCTGCAGAAGTGCCTGCGCCTGGACCCGACCGCGCCCGTGTGGGCCGCCAAGCAGCGCGTGCTCTGCGCCCTCAACCACAGCCTCCAGGACGCGCTCAACTATGGGCTTTTCCAGCCGCCCTCCCGGGGCCGCGCCGGCAAGTTCCTGGACGAGGAGCGGCTCCTGCAGGACTACCCGCCTAACCTGGACACGCCCCTGCCCTACCTGGAGGTGAGCGGCGGCGCGGGGCGAGCGGAGCAGCGCGCAGAGTAGACCCCCAAGCGCCGTGGCATGACCAGGGAAGGGCATGGCGGTGGGCACAAGTGGGAGGGGCGAGGGTGGAGGCAGTGTGTGTGTGTGTGTGTGTGTGTGTGTGCGCAGTCAGGATGTACAGTGTGAGCGGTGTGCAGTGAGCGGGCACAGTGTGTGCAGTATGTACAGTGTGAGTGGGCAGTGTGTGCAGAAAGAATGTACAGTGAGAGCACGTGCAGTGTGTGCAGTGAGTGGCGTGCAGTGAGCATGTGTACTGAGCGGGCAGTGCAGTGGGCGTACACAATGCATGCAGTGAGCACGTGCAGTGTGTGTAGCACGCACGTGCAGTGTGTGCAGTGAGCATTGTAGTGAGCCGGCAGTGCAGTGGGTGTACACAATGCATGCAGTGAGCACGTGCAGTGTGTGTAGCACGCACGTGCAGTGTGTGCAGTGAGCATTGTAGTGAGCCGGCAGTGCAGTGGGTGTACACAATGCATGCAGGGAGCACGTGCAGTGTGTGTAGCGCCCAGGTGCAGTGTGTGCAGTGAGCATTGTAGTGAGCCGGCAGCGCAGTGGGTGCACACAATGTATGTAGTGAGCAGGCACAGTGTGTGCAGCGAGTGTGTACAGGGTGTGCGGTGAGTGGCGCGCGGTGTGTGCAGTGAGTGTGTACACTGCATGCAGTGAGCCATGTGTACAGCATTGAAGTTTGGGGCATTGAGTACCGTGTGAGCAGTGTGGTAATTATGGCAAGCAGCATGTGCAGTACACAGTGAGAAGCGTGCACAATGTGTATAGTGTGTTCAGTGTGCCACACGTACAGTCAGATTGTGTATGTGTGCAGTTTGAACAGTGTGTGCATTGAGCAGCATATGTGGTTTCAATGCATCATTCTCCAGGGAGGAGTGTGTGCAGGAATGAGTGCCCGAGGGGGGTGTGGTGTGAGCAGGGTTGTCTGTGTGCACGTTTATTCCTTTCTCCAAGCTGTGAAGTCTTGTGAAGGTCACCCTGTCTCCTCCTTTGCTCACCCATGCATGGTGTGAAGATGTATTGAGTGCCCTGCCAGGCATGGGGACACAGACTGGTTCGGTCCTGTGGAAGGTCTTGGAGTTTGGCAGGGTGGAGGGGGTCACCCAACTGCAAGGAGCATTGAATAAAGATTTTGGGAGCTGAGCTCAAAATTGGGCTGGTGTCCATGATGGCACAGGAAAGTGGGGTCAGTTCTACCTGGAAAGTGGAGGGGGATGTCTAGGAAGGTAAGCCTGGAGTGAGGCCTTCAGGGAGGTGTGGGATTTTTAGAGAATCCTGGGGATGGCAAGGAGACAGGACGCTGCAGGCTGCGGGCAGCTCGCATGTGCCTTCCACCACGCTGCAAGATGCCTGGGTGTGGTGGGTGCATGGCAGCTGTTACCTCTGTCCACCATGGTAGTATGTGCGTCTGGGTTTGCGTGGTACTGGGTTGTGCTGCACTGATGGTGTGTACAGGAGGGCAGTGAGGGGCGCAGTGTGGCCAGCATGAGTGGGACAGGGTTTGTGAGTGGACTCCCTTGCTTAGCCGGGATGGGGGTGTTTTCTCTACCTTTTCTTTATCTGAGCAGTTTCGATACAAGCGGCGAGTTTATGCGCAGAACCTCATCGATGATAAGCAGTTTGCAAAGCTTCACACAAAGGTAAAGGGTCATGGCGAGGGGGTGCTCCTGAGGTTCTCTCCTGCCTCCCTGTGGCTGCTGCCCCCCACTCCAGCTTGGGGCTGACCGCAGTCCCCCCAGCTTTAGCTCAGTCTATTTACCCTACTGTCAGGGGCCCAGAGACGGTGCTGGGTGTGGCTGGAGGGCTGGGCACAGAGTCCAGGCACCAGGACTGGGGGAACAGGTGGTCCAGTGGTGTGTTCCAGTTGGATCAGACTCTTACTGACCCCCTGGCTTAGGGGCTAGAGTATCCTGTGAGAAGCTGGTTGGGAGAGAGAATGGACAAGCATCTGACCTGATGGCTTTCGGGACAAGGCACCCAGCACCGAGTGGTCAGCCACTGGGCGTTTGTAATGAGACCTCTCGTTAATCCTCTTCTGGAGGGACTAATAGAACCCCATCTGGCACATGGGGACACAGAGTGCCAGATAAGCTAAGTCACTTGTTCACGACTTTGTAGACAGTGAAGCTGGGGCTGAACCCAGGTCTGTCTGATCCCAGACGCAGTCCCCAAGCATACCTGTGAGGTGTCTTTACTGCTGGGTGCCACCTCCAGCTGGGCCTGACCCCAAATGCTGTTGGGGGGCACCTTTCTACCACCTCTGAATGTCGGAGGGGCAGTGTGAGTGCCACAGCCCCTCCACATGGGCTCCCACCCCAAGGTCATGGGCCAGCAGGCACTTGCTTGGGGGATACTTTGTGGACAAGCTCTGGAGCTTAGGAGAGGGATCAGAACACTGTCACCCCTGTGCCCTGATGGTCCTGTCAGTGACCTTGGAGCCTCGGGCATCTGTGCCAGACTTTTCTGCTGTCCCTGGGCAGGTGGTGGTCAATGCCTTGGCACTGTGGCTGGGCAGAGGCCACTGTGGAAAATTCCCCCTCTCCCTCCGCTGGCCCTCACTCGACCCTGTCAGCCTGGGTCCCTCCCCCATGACCACGTCTCCCTCCAGATCTCTCCACAGTGACCAACAAGACACGAATGACTCACTCTTCAGGGGTCTCCATTGCTTTCGGGATGAGCTTAAACTTCTCATACAGCCCCATGTTCCTGCCCCCCCAGGGCTCCATCTGGCCTTTCCCTCTCCCCTTGCAGTGAGCACTTCCTTCTCTTTCACTGCCTGGCCTACCTGAGGAGGTCACCTCACAGGGCAGGGGTCCCTGTGGTGCCCTCTCCTATTTCCGATGTACATGGAGCGTTTATGGAAGGGCCTGGGTCTTTGAACAGGGGACCTGCCTTGTGTGTGTGGTGTCTGTAGTGCCACCTGGGCAAGTGTGGTCTTGTGGGGCAAGTGGATAAACTGGGTGAGTGAGTACAAGGCCATCAAAGTCTGTCACAGGAGGGGTCCCTGGGGTGGGCGTGTGCCGTGGGGTGAGCTGGAGAGGAAGATGGGCTGGAGAAGGAGTAGGTCATCTCAGGGTGCTGAGGATTCAGGGCTGCTGTGAGGCTGGTTCCCACCTGGGTAGACTTCGGGCTCTTCCAGGCCAGGCAGGTTGGGGTAGCAGGGCCGGAGACACAGAGACAGCAGGGCAGTGACTGAGCCTGGAGTGAGGGACTTGCCTGGGGCACGACCAGGGTGACCTGTCCTTGGTGAGGGGCTACTTGGGTGCAGGCTGGTGGTTGTGGCTGGTTTGGCTCTCAGGATGCAAGGAAGGGCTTTGAGCCGTGCATGGGCCCAGCCAAGTAGGAACTGGGGCCGTGGTGGGAGCGCAGGGCTGTGGGTGACAATGGTGATGTCAGGTGACAGGTCAGACTGGTAGGGATGTGGTGGGGGATGCCCCAAGGTGGCCCGGGGCTTGCAGGAGGAAGGTGGGTGATGGTCAGATGACAGAGGCCTCGGTGCCAGGCTGACTGGCGGCTGGTGTTCCAGGCGAACCTGAAGAAGTTCATGGACTATGTTCAGCTGCACAGCACGGACAAGGTGGCCCGCCTGCTGGACAAGGGGCTGGACCCCAACTTCCATGACCCTGACTCAGGAGGTGAGGAGCAGAGTAGGGAGGGGCATGGCCTCTGAGTGGCTGGGAGCCTGACCCTCATCTGTCTCTGAATCCAGAGTGCCCCCTGAGCCTTGCAGCCCAGCTGGACAATGCCACGGACCTGCTGAAGGTGCTGAAGAACGGTGGTGCCCACCTGGACTTTCGCACTCGCGACGGGCTCACTGCTGTGCACTGTGCCACACGCCAGCGGAATGCGGCGGCGTTGACGGTCAGTGAGGGCAGGCCCTGGCCTGGAGGGGCTGTCTCCTGGTGGTGGGGCTGGGGGCTGCTGTGCCTGGTGTGGATACTGAGGCTGCTCACCCTCAGACCCTGCTGGACCTGGGGGCTTCACCTGACTACAAGGACAGCCGCGGCTTGACACCCCTCTACCACAGCGCCCTGGGGGGTGGGGATGCCCTCTGCTGTGAGCTGCTTCTCCACGACCATGCTCAGCTGGGGACTACCGACGAGAATGGCTGGCAGGAGATCCACCAGGTGTGCAGGGAGCTGAGGTGGGGTCCCGACCTCTGTGTGCTGGGTGGGGGGTCCTGGGCTCTGTCTGTAGGGGTGGGGGCCTTAGCCTGTGGGTAACACCCCCCGGGGCACCAAGGAAACTGTGCAGACCCCAGGCACAATTAGTGCGTGAAGTAAAACTCACTGCTTATTTATGTCTAGTTTATATATATAGTCATACTTAGTTCTATATAGCTTTTCTGTATAATCTTATAATAACTTACTACTTACTGCTTATTATTCCAGCTTATATATGTCTAGCATACTTAGTTCTGTATAATATTTCTATGTAATTACATAGGTATTGTAGTCGGAGCTGTACGGACACATTCAGTGCTGATTTATAGGATCCTTCCATAGAACCACATAGTAGTCTGTAGTAGGAGGAATGCCCAGAGCAGTCACAGAACAGAAGCAGCACATGGGAAAACAGCCAGACCAGGACGAGAACCAGAGACCCCGGGGGTGGCGTCCCTGCCTGAAAGGGCATACGCTGTACGGCAGGCTTGGAGCAGGAGCCCCTCCTCCTGATAAAGGAGCTGTAGCACCTCGCATCCAGTTCCTGTGGAAAGTC